AAAGTATTTCTAAAAAAACCAAAATGCTCCTACTTTGTGTAATTATTATGAAAAAATAGAGATAGTTTTGTAAAAAAATGAAAAGTTAGTTACTAAAAATGAAAATGAGACTATTGTTTTAAAAAAAATAAGACTGTTGTTTTGAGAATATTAAAGATATGATAGATAAACAAATCTAATTTAAAAATTTTACTTTCTAATTTAATAATGTACTAATAGTTATGGAATTTAAAGAATCTATTCCGTATGTTCAATTAATATTTTTAAGCGGAACAATTTTTCATAAATATTAAAAAGTACAATATATATATTAACATAATATATAATATATTATTTATTTACTTATAAAAAGCCAACAATTATATCCCTTCGTCGGCTTTGAAAGTTTACATTTACTTTTGGCGCGGTATTTAAGAAATAATAGTATTTTAATTATAGTGAGTAGTTTAAAGTAGTGTAATGACATTTTTGCCCTTACTTTTTTTTTTTTGTGTAAAAGTAATGATGTGATGTAAAGTAAGGATATTTGTGAAAAAAATATGTATTTAATAAAATGTTAACTTTGTAATTGGACGTCCTAAAATAAAAATATGTAAACATTATAAGTGGACGGAGGAAATATTTATTATATTATTAACACAAGTTATCGTACCTAATATAAAAAAATGCTTGCATCTAAAAACACTAGTGTTTGTTCACACAATCTATTTTTTTGTTGACACTTTTTTTATTAATATTATGAAAATGCAATATATACATATTAATATAATATATATATTCTGTTCACTTATAAAAAAATAACGATTCAATAAGAAATATTATTTTTTATACAATCAAAATAATTTTTCTTCTAATTAAAAACAACCAATTAAAAAAAATTCAATAACTATATATTATGACTATTTATATATATGGTAAATATTTAACTTTGTATATTTTTAAATAAAAAATAATACAATTTTTTATTAAAAAAATAATTTAACACTGATTATTATTATTATTATTTATTTTAAATACAACTTATATAGAATAGTATATACATATATATGTTTTTTCAAAAAAAATAAATAAATAATAAAATAAAATGTGGGGTGGGGCGGGGGGACAGCCCACCCTTGCCCCTGAATAGATCCGCCCTGCTTATAGTTATACTTATAATTAAAAAAAAAAAAAAATTAATTTGAAGATAACATCGAATATAGAAAAACCGATATCATATTTCTTGTCGTTTTTTATATTTATTTTAATATTAAATAATTTAAAATAATTACATGTATTAAAAAAGGTACTAAAATGATAATATTATTGGAATGTGTTTTGTTTGAATATAAAATACAAATCAATATTATTTATTTAATATATTTTTTATATAAATATATTATTTTATTTCAAAAATATTATATTAAATTATTATTTAAAGAAAAATTCAAATCAAAATTAAACAAATCCTATGTTCACATTATATATTTATATTATTGTTAGATTGTGGAGTTTTTTTGTCCATGAATTTTGATATGTGAAAATTTTTTTACGTGAAATATAAAAAATTGCGGGAAAAAAATATAAAAAGTATTAATATTTTATATTGATTTTTGTGAGAAAATAAATATAGAGAACTGTATTAAAAAAAAAAAATGGACAAAAAACTAATTTTGGTTTGAATTTATTTTTTCTAAAGTTGCATTTAAATAAAATTTTTAATTTAATGTTTTATAAATAAAATATATCATTCAAATCTATACTCATGTTCCTTTTTGAGTTGTCATAAGAAAAGTATTATCGTTTCATTTTTAAGTAAAAAATTATTATATTATTATATTTTTTTTAATTATAAAAGAAAAAAATAATCATTATTACTCACATTTATTAAAATCTATGTCCGATTAAATAAGCATACATTTGCATGACGAAGAATAATATTTTTACTAAACTCATATAATTGAATAATAACAATTTTAATTTAAAACAAAAATCAAATACACTAGTAAATATGAGCTAGATTTGACATTCATTTATAAATTAAAATACATTTATAATTCAATACTTTTAATTTAAAAAAAAAGTAAAATTACTTGAAATTAATGTTTGTTTTGTGAAATAATTTAAATGAGTATTTTTATTTATTTTTTTGTGAGACATAAAATAATGTGTAGATAATATAAAAATAACAAATATGTGTAATATATTATTATTTTTTAAAAAATTATAAAAGAAAACATACCCTTTACGAGTGTGTTTGTTTGGAGGATTGAATTTTAAATACACAATTCATCATATTTTTTTCCAAATCAAATCAAATACCTATTTTTTATTTTTTATATTATATTAAAAATCAATTTTACATTATTTAAAATATTATAAAAATTCTCTATAAAACTAAGGGTCTGTTTCTCCGAGCACAGTGTTTGCATAGTATTTTTCCCCAGTCTAGGCCGGTTCCTCCAAGCAGACATTTGCTGCATTTTTTTTCAAATATTATATTTATTTAATATTTATAATAATTGTAGGGTAAAAAAATATATACAATATATATGTCATTCTGTAGAGAATAAAATTTTGTATAATAAGAATAAATAAAAATTTAAATATATATATGTTTGGTATAATATAAATTCATAATCAAATCATACAATATAAATTTTATAAATTAAATTTAATATACATTTATATTATTTTATTCATTATCCATTAAATCAATACACATCAAAACTTCTCAAACCCCAACCAAATCTAAACACAAAAGAAACAACAAAATTCAAACTCATCCCAAAATTCAAATAAAAACCAAACTCAAATTCAAGTTCCCTAAATAAAATCATTTTGTATAACTTTAATATATATATATATATATATATTATTCAGTATATTTTTATAAATTATTTTTGTAGAAAAAAAAAAATTATATAGAAGATTTAAGAAAGAATTTATTTTGACAAAGTAATAATAATAATAAAGGAAACATAAACAAGACCAGACAAGACACAAGCTACAATCCAAACAAAGCAATAATCATATCAAACCATGTGCGTGAATGAATTGACTATGAGTGAATTTCTTTATAATTTTTTTTTAAAAAAAATTATTATTTGAATCATATATATATATATATTTTGGAAAACATATAAATTTTCTTTTGTTCATTGATAAATTTTTTATTTGATTTTTTACAAAAGTTAAATAAATTAAATTTTTTCAAAAATATAAAATAATATAATGTTCATCTTACTCTTAAAAAAGTAATACTCCCTTCGTCCCAATACAATAATCTTATTTACCATTTTTGTCCGTCCTGAAACAATAGTCTTATTTTTATAAATAACTATATTACCATAACATTATCACTGCTTTTTCATTTTTATTACACAATTGTCACTACTTTTTACATTAATACACTCACAAGGACAAAAAAAAATTTTATCTATACTTTTTATCAACTACTAATATAATATCAATATTTCTTAAATATTCTGCCAAACTCAATTAAGAATATAATTATGGGATGGATGAAGTATAAAAAAAAACAAAAAATATAAATATTTTAGTATTTAGCTAAAAATTACTTTTAAAATAAAAAATAAAAATTTTGCTTTGGCAAATGTAAAGTTTACAATAGACTTGTAATCGTGAGGTTATGGGTTCAAATCTCTGACGCTCTAATTTGTGCACTCTAAAAATAGCAACGGCGAGTTCTGTAAGGGATGACCTGGTGGTGTGGGGATTAGACTTGTGACCGTTAGGTCATAGGTTCAAATCCTCGACGCCTTGGGTCTTGCCACACATGATTCGTCTAATATATCTTGCATATCGGATATAATTTGCAGGGTATTTGGTTCAATCGCAGATTCCCACGTCATAAGTTTTGGGGGAACACTTGTGTGTTGCCTTTTTATTTTACTTTTTAATTTTTTAAAATTATAATTAAAAAAATTATACTCCCTCAATTCCAAAACTATAGTCTGGATTGTGCTTGGCACGGGATTTAAGGAATATTGATATTATATTGGTAGTGGGTAAAAAGTACGAGTAAAAGATTTTTTTGCCCTTGTGAGTATATTAGTGTAAAAAATAGTGACAATTGTGTAATAATAATGAAAAAGTAAGGGCATTTATATAGTGATATAGTTATTTATGAAAATGAGATTATTGTTTTAGGACGAACAAAAATGATAAACAAGATTATTGTATTGAAACGGACAAAAATGATAAATAAAACTATTGAGTATATATAATTACGTGTATGTATTTGTTAGGTAAGTATATTATTATTATTATTACTTATTTTTATTTTTTTAGGAGAAAAAGATAAATTGTAGAATAATGATTTATATTCCAATACATCATGACTTATATATAGACAATTACATTTGTGATTAGTCATCACATTGATGACATATGAGGATCAAATTATATATTGTATTGAATTATTAGTTTTTTTTATAAGTGTATAATATGTATAATATACATATTGTATTAATATATATATATATTATAATTTTTTAAAAACAATATTTATGAAAATCATACCATTTCAAATACAAAGTGAACAAACCCTAGCTATCATCTAAATACAATCAATCAATTTTGTAACAAAAATTTTTCGTTGTTAAATTCACTTTTTTCGTTACTAATGATATTAGAGATGGAATTACAAATATACTGTTTTTTTTAGTGAATTTGAGTTTGTTTGTTTAGTATTTCAGTTTCATAATTTATTTATTTTTATGCGAGGTATATTGAATTGTATCAATAATATTATTTTGTATTAAATATTACTTTTTTTTATATAAAGATAGAATATATGTTATATTTAAATTTGTGTCGGTGGAGATCTTTTTGGACCATCTTTTAAATTCTATATTAAAAGTAAAAGTAAACGTGGGATGGTAGGCATATTATAGATAGGTCCTTATTTTTAAATTTTTTAAAAAAATATTTAGAATAATAAAAGTGGGTAGAAAGTTGAGAAGTCAAACAAACACACCCTCTCCTTCATCATACCTCATGTGTGTATATATATATATATATCATACACACACTTCCTAGGAGTCTCAAAAAATGGATTTTGAGGAAGTAAGAAAATACGTAGAGAACGAAAAATCGAAGTCGGGATTGAAATCAAAATCCATGCCCGAAGATTTTTTAGACCTGACGACGATGCAAGGACTAAGAATTCAAAAAATCGAACGCGGTCGTATCCTTTGCTCGATTATTGTCCCGCAACGACTCACCGGAGAAAAAGGGGAATTGCACGCCGGAGCCGCCGCCGCCCTAGTGGACTTGATCGGAACAACGGTGGTTTTTACGACGGGAGTTCCGACCGGCGTATCCGTAGAAATCAATATTTCTTACACGGGCACTGCTTATGTTGGGGTACGTATCTATTTTTTCATATCTAATAACACAAAAAGTATAATTTATTATTTTATTTCGATCTGTCTCAAAATAAAATACTTTTTTGAGAAAAAGAAAATATATCATTTTTTCTTTATTTGTGTTACATATAAATATGATATTAATGTTAAAAAAATATAGTTACAATTAAAACAATTATACAATACAGTTATTCGTAGTTTGTGCATAAAATATAACAATGATAATTAATATTTTAGGACGAAGTTGAGATCGAATGCAAAATTTTGCGATTGGGGAAAGCTATTGCGGTGATCGGCGTCGAGCTAAGGAATTGCAACAACGGCGAACTCATAGCTATCGGCCGACATACAAAATACATTCAAAACATCCGAAGCAAAATTTAGGGTTTGTTCGATTATATTTTCTCTCGTTTGTTCGGGTACCAGGGGCGAATTAAAGGGGGGTTGATTTTTCGAACTTATAAACTAATACAGTTTATTTAACTATATATATATATAGTATTTCCTCCGTCCGCCTGTAAGAGTCACATTTACCTTTTGCGTCATTGTACTTAACATTAAAAATATCCTTATATTTGTATAATTTTGTATAAAAATATCTTCTTTTAGTATTATAAGACATTAATTGAAGTATTTTTGCAATTTTTTCTTAATTTATACCAGATTTTGATATAATAATTAATATTCAAATATAAATATGCAAAAAGTAAATGAGACCTTTAGAGTTGGACGAAGATAATAACATATACTCCCTCCATCCCATATCCATCTATTTATTTCCTTTTTGCACGAAGTTTTAGAAATATTATGATGCAGTAGAAATAAAGGTAAAAAAACTAAACTAACTTTATTAGTATTGTATGATATAAATGTAATGACATTTGTGTAATATATTGTAAATTAGAAGGATATTTATAATGTTAAATAGATAGTACAATTACTTGAAATTGATACTTTGTTATGAGACAGACCAGAATGAAAAAATAATTTAAGGTGCGTTTGGTTAGCAATTGAATTTTTGAATGAAAAGTTGGGTTGAAAATAATTTATTTAATTAATATTTCATTTATAACGTAATATATATAAAATAAAATAATTAAAATGCATAGTAGTTTATTTTAATAACTGAGCTTTAATATATAATATAAATATTAATTTGGAGAAAATAAAATTTTATATAATACAAATAAAAAATTTAAATATTTATTTATAATTAAAATAAATTAATTTTATAAATAAATATGGAGTTTGTTAATGAAAGAACCAGGAAAAATATAAAATTTTGAATAAATTTTAAGTAAATTTCATATGATATAATAATATTTTAAAAAAAAGGTTACGGACATAGTGTCAACAGCCGCGTAATGATATATATTTAATGAAGATGCTTCGATTTAATAAAATATAATAATATATATATGTTAATTAAATATTTTTTTATTATTTGTATTATTTAAAATTTTATTTTTTTTTATAAAATAATATTAATATTGTATATATTTTATTAAAATATAATATTTAAATATATTTTAAATTTATTTTAATTATGCATATTAATTCTTAATTTTAAATTATAATAATATTATTTATATAAAAAAATAATATCTTAATTTAATATTATTAATTAATTAAATTTTACTACTTTAAATTTTGTATCAATGATTAAACCAATCATTCAAACCATAGAGAATATATTATATATTAAAATATTTATAATTAAAATAGTAATAGTACAAAGTGATGACAACGACAAGTTTGTTTTCAACCGTAAAAAATTTTATTATTTGGACTCTATATTTTTTGAAAAAAAAAAATATTTTTTTCGTTTCGAATATTTTGTGTCGTTTATGTAAATAATGGAATTTAGGAATGGTATAATTAGTAAATAATTAAATTTGTATTAATAAAAATAATTATAGTATAATAAAAATAATTATAAATTAAAAAAATTATAAATTAAAAAATATAACTTTTTTCAAAAAAAATAATGACAAAATAAGCGTAACGAATGAAAATAGAAAGGTAAATATCAGAAGTGGGACAAAGGGAGAGAGTATAATTTTTTACAAAATATCACGTTATATATTATTTAAATACCAACCTCTAACTAAATTTTTTTTCAGACTAAATAAAAAAAACATATACATGAGTAACTAATTACCAGCTGTCCTGTCGTGTCATCAATATATTTTAATATATAATTTTTTTTTTTTAAAAAAACATTATATGTCGTGGACAAACGTTGACAACTAATTTCTTAATGTCAGGAATCTTCGCATTGATTTGGCGTAAGTGGAAAACTTTTATTTTAAAATAGGGTAAACTGTATTTTTAGTTTCGTAATTAATCTCCTTTATCATTTTAGTCTCGAAAGTGAAATATGTTGCAAATTAGTCTTATAAGTGAAAAATTTTCGTTGTTTTAGTCCTCCTGCATGGGAGATGCCCGCGTGGCTCGTCGGAAGTGACGTGTCAGCCAGGTGTCGCTGACCTAGCGGACACGTGGATTTTTTACTTTTTTTTTTCATTTTTTTAAATTTTTTTAAGGTAAACTGTTTTTTTAGTCCGGTAACTGGACCCCTTATCATTTTATTCCCGTAAATGGAGCCTGTCGCAAACTAGTCCCATAAGTGAAAAATTTTCGTTGTTTTAGTCCTCCAGCACCGGAGACGCCCGCGTGGCTCACCGGAAGTAACGTGTCCGCCAAGTGTCCTGCTAGGTCAGCGACACCTGGCGGCACGTGGATTATTTATTTTTTTATTTTTTTTAGATTGGACCAAATAAAAAAAATTAAAAAAATACAAATAAAATTAAAAATAAATTAAAAAAAATTTAAAAAAAAAATTAAAAAATGAAAATAAAAATAAAAAATTCACGTGCCCGCCAAGTGTCGCTGACATGGCAGGATACCTGGCGGACACGTCACCTCCGGTGAGCCACGCGGGCGTCTCCGGCGCCGGAGGACTAAAACAGCGAAAATTTTTCACTTATAGGACTAGTTTGCCACAGGCTCCATTTACGGGACTAAAATGATAAGGGGTCCAGTTACGGGACTAAAAAAACAGTTTACCCATTTTTTTAAAACTTATTTTTAATTTATTTTGAATTTTATTTGTATTTTATTTATTTATTTTTTATTTGGTACAATTAAGAAAAATTAAAAAAATGAAAAAAAAATAAATCCACGTGTCCGCCAGGTCAGCGACACCTGGCGGTGCCGGAGAACTAAAACAGCGAAAATTTGTCACTTATGGGACTAGTTTGCGACAGGCTCCACTTACATGACTAAAATGATAAAGGGGTCCAGTTACGGGATTGAAAAACATTTTACCCTTTAAAATATTATTATATCATACTTCTTCCATTCAATTTCTATTGTTCTAAAATATATTTACACGTTTTTTTAGGTGATTATTTTTTTGTTATGAATGAACAAATTTGTCCTTAATTGAATGATAGAGATTAAAAATAATAAATGAATGGATGGTAAAAATATAAAACTTATGTTTAAAAAAAAAAATAGGGAAACAATTGTTGGACGTCCCAAAAAGGATAGTAGGACATTAATTTGTGCACGAAAGGAGTATAAAATTTGTTCAAAATCTATTAAAAAATTTTTATTTTTGTCTTTCTTTTATAAATAACTCCCTGATTACTTATAAAACTAATATATTTTAATTATATAAATATTTTTACTTTTATTTATTTATATTATATAAAAGTTTATTTTTTTACAAAATAATATCTATATTGTATATATATTATATTAAAATAATTAAATATACATTTTAATTTTTAAAATTTTATATATTATATTATTAATTAAATTAATTAATTTCAATTTCAATTTTGTTAATTGACTGTTGCTTTAAAATGTCTCCGTATTATACTAGTAGAATATCACTACAGTGATTACTATAATTCTATTATTTTATTTATCTCTCATTTACATTATATTTATATTAATATTTAATTTTTTTAAACATCAGTTATAATTATTATTTTAAGCCTATTATTTTTATTATTTTATAAAATTCATTTTAATTTATTTATATATATATTTATATTATGTAATAATGAATAATATTTATTATTAATAATATACTCATCCGTCCCGGCAAATATGAGTTTTTTTTTTTTTGTTATGGATACGGTATTTTAGATATTTTAGATTAATAAATAATTAATAATAAATTACGATGTTATTTTATTATTTTTATATAAATAGTATTGTTGGTATTTTAAATATATTTATGATTATATTTTAATAAAATATATACCGTATGAATATCATTTTATAGGTAATAAAATTTTATATAACTTAAAACTAATTTTATAAAAAATGGTAAGTTGTAAATATAGATAAAAATATTTATTTATCTAAGAAGATAGAAATAAAAGGGTTTTGAGTGGACGTGTAAGAAGTTATAAATTTAATAAAATTGATTTATATTTGTTGAATATGTTTAAGATGAATAAATTTACTGAAAATAGAAATGGAACATCGTTTATGAAATTGACAAAAAAGAAAATTTGATAATTTGTGGCGGGACGAAGAGAATATTATAATTTCAATATATTGATATAAATTGTGATAATATTATATAATTTTTATAATACATTTAAATTATTTTTGAATATGTGATATTAATGTTATTTGAAAAAGTAAATGATTAAAAGAAACTTGAGTTGATCTATCACTTAATTTTTATTTTTCGATAATTTGGTTAAAAAATCAATTGAAAAAATTTATGTGCTCGTTAGTCATTTCGTTGAAATTATATATAAAATTTTAAAGAAATCTAAATATTAAAATTTAATACTATATAAAATTAGATAAAATTAAATTATTGAAAAATATGTAAATAATATAGAATAATATTTTAAAATAAACTTGAATTGTATTTGTAGAGATAAATTATTAATATTTTAAATTTTAATTTTAAGTAATAATTGATTGATATAATTTTAATTATTTTTTTTAGAAATAGCAAGCTCTTATAAAAGACAATAAATGTATATTAACTATACTTTTTACTAAAGATAATAAGTATTTTTATAATAAAAATGAAAAAAATAATTATAAAGGTAACGACGAAAATGCTTTATTACAAAAAATATATATATATATATAAAATACGATTAATAAATTCAATATTATTTAAATTAAAAGTTAAAAGCTAAAAGTAAATATATATATATATATATAGAAAGTGAAAATGGTGTACTTGGTTTTAGTTTCAATCCAAATTATTATTATTATTTAATATATATATATTTTTTATTTTATTAATAGAATATATTATTTTATTATAATATACTGTATTACATAAAAAATTATTCAAACTAAAATTTAAATTAAATTTCCAATCTTAAATCAAAATCAAATAAATTATTATTTTTATATTTTATTTTTCTTTTTATATTTTAAAAGATAACAATAATTATATAACATGATATTTATATGAAAAAATAGATATATTTTCTTAAAGAAAAAATAAAAATAAAACAGTAAATACTAATAATAGTAATAGTAAATGATGACTATGATGATGAAGATAATAAATTCAACGTGCTGAACCAAATTATATATCTAATCTAATATAATATATATATTTACCGTTGATTATGTGTCACGGACGGCGACACAAATATTTTTTTTTCTAAAAAAACAATTTCCTCGTGAATCCCATTTAATTGAATAATAATAAAATAAACTGTGAAGAAATATAGAATTTTTTTTATTTGTTTAGAAAAAAAAATCTTGTGGATCCCACTTAAATTAAATAATAATAATAATAAAAAAGAGACATGCAGATGAACTAGAGCGTGGAAAAACAATAATAATATAATATTATTTACTTTATTATTTAAATTGTAACAATCTAATTAATTGTTTTTACTTTTTTGATTAAATTATTTATATTATTATAAATATGAATTTAAATAAAATATATTTAGTAAATAATTAAAAAATATTAGTAAAAGTAATTATTGTATAATAAATATAATTATATATGAACTGATAAAAATTATAAAAAATAGACATTTTATGCAGGATAGGGAGAATATTATTTATATATTTATCAATTATTATTGTATACTTTAACATTCAATAATATCCATATTTACTACTCCCTCCGTCCATTTAGAAGAGTTACATTTATTTTTGGCGCGGTGTTTAAGAAATAATAGTATTTTAATTACAGTGAGTAGTTAAAAGTAGTGTAATAATATTTTTGCCCTTACTTTTTTGTGTAAAAGTAATGATGTGATGTAAAGTAAGAGTATTTGTGAAAAAATGTAGGATATTTACAAATAATAATGTACATATAAAATACCATAAAAAATAATTTATTCATCCGTACATAGCACGGCTATACACTAGTATTAAATTAATTTAATTCTTTGAAAATTATATAATATATATATATATTATTCTTTGAAAATTTTTAAATATAATAATTTTTATAAATATTATTAAAAATACAACATATATTAATATAAAAATTATAAATATTATTAAAAACACAATATATATTAATATAATATTATAACATGGATATATTTAATTTATTTATAAAAAATTAATTATTTAATACAAAATATTATTTTTTTATATTTAACATAAATAATACATATGTCAAAAAATACCAAATAAATAAACTCATATATATATATATATATATATATATAGAGTATGTTTCTTTACAAAATTATGAAATTGCTCTGATATATAAAAATGAAAAACATTTTACAAGAATAACCTTTTGGTTTAATATTTGAAATTTATTTTATTATATATTTATTGTGGAGATTTCTTAATTATTGTGGTTCCTTATTATTATTTTGAATAATTTATTTATATTATCTTCAAAACTAAAATATTTTCAACTTTTTTTTACACTATTATAGAAAAAAAAGCAGCCTTTTTTATTTAAATATATAACATTTAATATTTATTTTTCATTCAAATATAACTTTAATTTTTTTTTTTTCATATTCAAAATATTTTATTAAATAGTTATTTATATCACATAAAAAATTGATTTTTCATGTACATATATTTTTTCCCTTCCTATTTTGAAAGTTCTTCAAAACTTAAAAATATTTATAAATAATTTGAAAATTGCAGAGAAAGCAAATCTGGTCTGATCTACAACGGAAGATATCTAAAAAAAATAAATAATAAAGTGCGCACTCGACTCACGTATAAATAACGACATACAAATCAAAGAAAATAAAAATATACGAAACATACAATTTGTTCACTAAAAAACTCAACAAAATTTACCCATGAAAATCAACAATTCTCCTAAGTATTGTGTTGAGTTTTTCTCTAGAAAAGAACTTATTCAGGTCTCTCCGATTTTCTATAAATCAATTCATCTAAAAATCTTGATATGGATAAAGTATCAATTATAGATAAAAACTATTCATATTTGTCTCCAATCTTATCCGAAATTCAAATAAAAAATATCCGCAATTATTTTATTCAATAATATACATTAGCCAAAATATATTCTAACACAATTTTAGCGCTTGATTTTGTATTTTGATTTGAATAAATATCACTAGAATATAATATTTTATGGAAAAAAATTATTTTTGATCCAATTAAATTTTAGTTTTTTTACCTAATTTTTGTCCAACTTAAATTAGAATTAATCGATTTTAGTCTCACGGAGTCATGGTAGATGACATAGACTGAATGTGTTTTTTTTTTAAAAAAAATAATAATAAAAAAAAACTATAAAAATAATCATAATTATATATATTTCAAAATTTATAGTAAAATTTTAATATTTTACAAAATGATTTACAAAAAATTATAAAATAATAAATTGATATACTCTATCTGTCCCATTAGAAGGATATCATTTTTCATTTTTGTCGGTTCCAAAACAAAGATACTATTTTATAATTTGGTAATTGTACGAAATACCTAAATTAATTAATACATTTACAACTTCCAATATATTACATCAATGTCATTACTTTTATATCACACAATCTAATAGGGACATTTTTTTTCTTTTACTATAAACCAATATAATATTAATATTAAAAAATCTATGTACAAAAAAACAAATGTTGGACTTCTTCTTGAGGGACGGAGGTAGTATATATTTTTAATAATCATAATTATATATATTTTTAAAAATTTATAGTAAAAATTTTAAACTAAATTTAATTCAAGTCTTAAAAAACAAAAAATAAATTTAATTTATAATATAAAATATGAAAAATATACAAACATTATTTAAAAAAAAGTTATAATATTTTAACTAGAAGATTTTAAAACAACATCTATAATTTTTATATAAGTAATGCATAGTTATAAATTTTTTAGTTAAAATAAAATAAGATTATTTATTTATTTTTAAAATTATAAATTAAATTTATTTTTAAAATGTCACTATAAATTTTAAAAAATATATATTAATTTATTATTTTTATAGTTTTTTTCAATCATTTTTGTTAAATTATAATACATATATATATAAATAATCTGAAAAAATAAATATAATAATAAATATGAGTTAGAACATGACTATTTTTAAAATAGAGCCGTGAACATGACCTCGAATATGGTAATGCTAAGAACATAATCGTGAATGAACATAATTGTGTTCAGCACACGAGCATGACTACGGCTGTGAACAGAGGCATTAACACGGTCTTTAATTAATTAATAATAATAAGTTATGATATTATTAATATTATATTTTGATATGAATACTATTATTGGTAGTTTCAAATTAATATATTATTAAAATAAAACTAAAAAATATATATATTTAAATATTACTATTATTTTAATAAAATATACTCCCTTCGTCACTAAAATAACTTTATTAGTATTGTATGATATAAATGTAATGACATTTGTGTAATATATTGTAAGTGGTAAAAGTATTTTTAATATTTAGTAGAAAGTACAATTACTCAAAAAAAAAAAAAAAAATTGATACTATCAAAATACTAAAAAATTAGATAAATTGTTAATCGGACGGAGAGAGTATTACAGCGTGAATATAGAAACAAAATTTTAAATAATAAAAACAATATATATTGATTTATAATAAATATAAATTAATTTTATAAAAAAAATAATTAAACGAGGATTGTAAATATACATAAAAATAACTTTTTATTGAGAGGAATATAAATAAAAGAATTTTAAATAAGTCTTATACGATGTTATATCTTACAAATTTAATTTGATTTACATTTGTTAAATATATTTTGATTTACTAATTTTCTTTTAAAAAAAATAAACCCAATTAAAATAAAAATGAGGAAATAATATTTTTAAAATAAAAATTTATTTATTTAAAAACTTTATTTTATTTTACGCTAGTTCAAAATGTCCAGCTGTGAGCCATCGTTCACTCTCCTTCTTCCCCGCCCAACACACCTTTAAGCCTACTTACACAATTTCAAAATATTTGGAAAAACGAAACAAACACGGCCTAAGAGGTGATCAGACCGTTAGAAGTAACAAATCACTTCTTCTAATGACAGTTAGTTACAGTCTTAGGCATCTTCAAAAAAATCTCTTCTCTTCTTCGCCGCTCTGTTCTTGCCGATGATTGTCTGTCAATCAGTCGACTCAATTGGTCTCTTCTCCGTTGCGTTGCTGCCCTTCTTCCTTGTCTGAGTACTGTCCGATTCTTTGTATGGTTGTGGCGGTTTTGGGTGGATGTGTTTTGTGGATTGGCGATAATCTTGTTTAATTGTTTTCTAGGGTTTTCTTCGATTTGAACTCCTCGACTGAGTCAAGTATTTCTGTCACTGTTGGCTGTTGTGTCGTCAATCAGTTCTGGAATGGAATTTTAGAGTAACTTTGGTGGTTTCATTTCTTTCTGCAACATGATATGGTATAATGTGCTGTAGAATTTTAGATTGGCAATTGTTCTTGTCTGTTGCTTTTCTTAATTTATCGCTTGATTTGATTTAATTGTTGAGAATCGGTTGATCAAAATCCTGAGGGTTGGGTTTATTATTATTTCTTTGTGTTGGTTGCGATTTGAACGAAATCTGCAAAGAAATCAACGTTGTAGGTTCTCAAGATAAATAGAATCATAAATTTGTTAGTTGTTTTCGAGAATTGAAGTGAGGAATCGTATGTTTAAATTGCGTTCGCAGGCCATGTCCCTTAGAAAAGATCTAAAACTAGGAATAGAAGATATCCTGGTGGCAGATTTGAACTCTGTATATATTGTTGCACACATTTTGGAAAATTTGAGTCCTGATTTGATTGGAAAATGTGTGTGGGAGTTTATTTGTTCTTGTTATATTTATGAATATATTGTTATGAAGAGAAACCATGGATGTGTTATCCAACTGAATACAGGTCACAGTTTTTTCCCTCTACCTTTTCCTATTAGTTTGTTTAGTTATATTGCCTGGAACATTCGTCTAAAACAGAGATTTGTGGATAGGTTGCTATTGTCAAAGACATAAAGGAGTCAATGCTTGAAGAAGTGGATTTTAAGGAGGCAAGGTACATTGAGTCTTTCTCTATAAATCTTTGTAAATGATTCTTGGCTACGAATTGTATGTAAATCACTTTCTTGAAGTAAATCACTTCTACTCTTTGATCAATAATCTCAATAAATCTTTGTAAATGATTCTTGGCTAGGAATTGTATGTAAATCACTTTCTTGAAGTAAATCACTTCCGCTCTTTGATCAATAGTCTCAATAAATCTTTGTAAATGACTCTTGGCTAGGAATTGTATGTAAATCACTTTCTTGAAGTAAATTTCTACTCCTTGATCAATAATCTCAAGTGATCTTTGTAGATGTATGTATCTTGTACAATTTCTTCTTCTTCTTCAATTGTTATACTTTCTTGATATAAATTACTCCACATGAATTGTTGGGAGGATTTCTTCGAAAACATGTATAATTATTCACCCTAAGATTATGATTCCATGGCTTCTTCCTTGATTGATATGGGTGCTACAAGCAATGATGTTGACTCGAAGGCCTTTCCGAGGGACCTGGAAACAATATTTTCCTCTATTTAGGAAAGTTTCTGTTTCTGTACTGTCATCTTCATTTTATAGAACATCATATTGCCATTGCCATTGTTTTGTGCTAATATTGATGGGTATATAAGAGTTCTAACTTAAAAGCATTTCGGATGGATTTGTTGTTGCTGTGACTGCAGGAATTGCGCAGAGATCTTCGTTGATACATGCAGGCTTTAATTTCTGTAGGTAACTAATTCACTTCCATTGCTTGCCTACCTTCAATATACCCATTTCTCCATCTTATTCAATTTACTAATTCCAGAAGCTGATCAAAATACATACATATCGACTACTTCGACCCTACTATATATATTCTAGAAGCTTTTATTTTTCGATAACATATGGCATTAGCATTCCATTCTTGTACATTTATAGTTAATTAGTTATGTCAGCTACTTGACTTAGATGGCCTAAGACATGGCCTTATCATGTCTATATGCAATTAGACTTGTGCCTGCTGCAGCTTTGTTTGATTGTTTCAAATGGAATGCATATCTTCAACCGGGCGCAAGAGATAGGGAGTGTTTCGACACTTGTACCCTTACATTCTTGTATTCATTTAAGCATACTTCCATATATTAATAAGATCATATTTATAATCCAAGATATGTATGCATCGATTTAATTTATAATTTGCATCCCAACCACATTGTTTTTGTTTTCTGGTTATGTAAATTTTATATGAAGACTCGAGACTCAACGGAGACCCTTCGTATTTCTGTGTATATATATATACTAATATTACTTTTAAACTTTTAAGACGCGTTTTTTGGAGTATGGCAGGACGATTATGGAAATATCCATTTCAAATGTAGTGGATATCTTCAACTGTAGGATTCTATTTAGATCTGGGACATACATGCATCGATTTAATATCTAATTTGCATTCTAACTATATTGTTTGTGCATTTTGTGTTAGTTAAGGCTCACGTGGAGACCGGAGAGTCGACCGAGACCCTTCGATCTAAATTTCTAACACAAGATGGTTAGTGAATTAAGTTTTATTTCCATGTTTTCATTGTGTACATACTAAATATCTATAGTGAGTATTTCAATATTTTTTTCTCTTACATTCTTGCATTCATTTAAGCATACATGTATTTACTATTTAGTAATAGGATCGTATATACGTCAGGGACATTTATGCATCAATTTAATTTCTAATTTGTACTTTAGCCACATTATTTTTGTTTTCTGCTTATGGAAAGTTTATGTGGAGACTCGAGAGTCAACGGGTGTGTTTGTTTGGGAGATTGGATTTTAAGTACACTATTCATTTAATTTCTTCCTAGATCAAACACCTATTTTCGATCGGGATTTTGAAGATAAGATGGTAGGTGAATTAAATTTTATTTTCATGTTTTCTATTTAGATATACTATTATTTCTTTTATTATTATTATTATTTTTTTTTATCGAATTAAATTTTTAATGATGCATTGGTAGGATCGTGGTGAGATAATCAAAGAAATTCATTTCAAATGGAATGGATATCTTTGACCGGATGGAATGAATATTTTCGATCGGACCAAAGATAGGAAGTATTTCGATACTTTCTCTTACATTCGTGCGTTCATTTATTGCATTAATTTAAGCATACTTGCATCTAATAATTATATAAAGAAAATAAAAACTTAGGGTTTGATTTGAGTTTAAAGTTTTGATTTGAGATTTGATTAAATACTTTTTGATATTTTATAAAAAAAAATTATGTATATATTTACTAGAAACCGTATAAACTTACTTAATAGGCAATTTTTAAATTTGAAAAAAAATAAATAAATAACCCTTATAATGTCTTTTGTTGTTGATTTTTCCTTATGGATGTAAATATGATATCTTGTAAAAAAAATAAAAATAAAAAAATAATTAACAATGATTAAAATTGAATAATAAAAACAAAATAAATTCAATAATAATAATAATAATAAGAACAAACTCAGAAATAAGTACACTTTTTCTGTGGCCCCAAATAATACCAAATGTTTCTTTTCGGCCTTATGCATTTTGGAGTTGGGCTCGTAATATTTCTTGGGCAGTAGAAATTAATGAGTCCGTTTATTATTTCAACTTTTGTCTAGTTATGCTCTTAATTTATTTATTTTTATTAAAAATATATTTCAAAAATTCTTTACTAAATTCAATTTTTTCTTTATATGTATCTCTTAAATAAATAAATAAATAAATAGATTTATATGCATTCAAATATTACTATTGTTGTTTTTAATAGTGTCTAACTATAAAATTTCTAAGTAGTTGAGCTCTTTCCTTCACATTTTTTGGAGTTACAATTCAATTCCCATTGTGCACAATAGTACTACTCCCTCCGCCCTATATTTTTAATTTGTTTGAACACGAAATTTAAAAAATATTAATATTATATTAGTAGATAAAAAATATTGATAAAAATTTTTTTTACCCTTGTGAGTGTATTAGTATAAAAAATAGTGTCAATGGTGTAATAAAAATAAAAAAATAGAAGTAATTTTATGGTGATATAATTATTTATGAAAATAAGACTATTGTTTTAGAACGGACAAAAATAGTAAACATGACTACTGTATTGGGACGGAGGGAGTAATATATCCTTCCTCCGTCCAATTCCAATTGATCATTTGGGAATTTATGGTAAATTAAAAAATAATAATATTGTATTGGTCAGTGAAAGTATATAAGAGAGTTTGATATTTTTGCTCTTTGGTTTTATATATAAAGTAATTTATACGTGTAATTGATATATTTATAATTTAGGTAAAAATTAAGAATATTTTGGTATTAATGTATTATTATTTTTACTTAGATAGAAAATAAATATTTTTGGAGTGAACGGAGAAAGTACTATCTATTCATAATAAAATTAACAATATACTCTCTCCGGCCACTCTAGAATAACAATTTGAGGTAGATTAGAAAATAATATTTTATTTGTTAGTGAAAGTATATAATAGAATTTTATAATTTTGTTTTTGGTTTTATATATAAATTAATGGTATATATAACGATACATTTGTAATTTAGGTAAAAATTATTACTCCTCCATCCGGCTCTAAGGGTCTCATTTATCTTATGCGTCATTGTATTTAACATTAAAAATATCTTTATATTTGCATAATTTGTTTGCACGAATGTCGTTATAATAGTATAAGACACTAATAGAAGTATGTTTTGTCATTTTCCTTTAATTTGTACTATATTTTCATATAATAATTAATATTAAAAAATAAACACGTAAAAAATAAACACTTAAAAGCCGGACGGAAGTAATAGTATTTTGGTATTAGCATATAATTATTTTTACTAAAATAATAAAATAATATTTTATAATTTAATAATTCATCATATCAAATAAACAATTTGTTATTATTATTATTATTTTAAATAAAACTTCTATGTAAAATCAATTTATTTCAATTATTTTTGTCTCATTGCAATATTTTGTGTGGACCCACTTATTATTTAAAAGTTGAAAAAATGAAATATGGGTAAAAGTAGTTGTGGACCCTACCTATCTTGAATTAGACAGTCCATTTGTGGGGCCCATCCTAATATGAAAGTGCACAGTCGATAAGGCTTTATTTAGATATTACAAGACACTGCCTTTGTCGGGTTATTTTTGTCTTTTACTTATTTATTTATTTTAATTTACTTTTTCAAATAAATTACTTTTTTTAAAAAATAAATTACCTTTTTTTTTTTTTTTTTTTTTACTTTAATGTTTATAATTAGGGAGTATTTTGGTACCGAAGAATAAATTTTTTTCTTGTTTGGTCGAGATAGAAAATTCAGGATTGATAAATAAATTAAAGGAGTAGGGTGTATTTATATATTTATTTATTTATTTATATTTAATTTTTACGATTTAATTTTTGTTTTTTGTTTTAATTTTTTTTACTATTATTTAATTTTATATTATTCAAATCTCATAAAATATCATATCTAAATTATTATTAAAATAATTTATCAAAATAAAGATATAACAAAAAAATACAAAAATATTTTTTTTTATCTAATTTATTATTTTTCAATGATTGATGTATCTTTTTAAACTAGCAATGTAGATTGTTCTATTTATGCTTTGTATTTTTATTATTTTTTATTTTTTACGAATTATCTGTTTTATCAAACAAAATAATCAATTCTTATTCTCCGTTGAATTTATTTTCTCTCCAATTTCATTCACAACTATCATTTATCTACAATTTCATTCTCTATACCAAATGCACCTTACTGTTTGAATAGTAGTAAGTAAATATAATGATGTAAAGACTAAATCGCTTTTAGTTTTAAATATAAGTGTATAATAAAATGATGGTAAAATGATAAACAAGTATATAAAAATAAAAAGGTGTTAGTAGTTATTGGCAGGGTTCACGATTACTAAAAAATAACTAGAAACATTTGAATTAGACGAACGAAAATAGAGATATGTAAACATTGTAAGTAAACAGAAAGAAAGAGTATTGAATTGTATTTATAATTTGAAGTGTTTTTTATATTAATTGAGATATATGTATATAATACTCCATTCATTTGTTTCTAAGATTACATTTACCTTTTTGCGTCACTGTATTTTATATTAAAAATATTCTTATATTAATATAACTTTTTTGTAAAAATATTTTTATATTAGTAATATAAGACACCAATAAAAATATTGTCATTTTTTTAATTTATGCTATATTTTGATATAATAATTAACACTCAAAAAATAAATGTGCTCTTAAAACCGGACGAAGGTAGTTTATTCTTTGGTTGGAATACACTCATTCAAATTATTAGATAAAATAATTATTTAAAAAATAATAATAATAATAAAAGTTCTCCTTCAGATCTAACTCAAATACTATTTTTACAATTTTTACATATCTAACTCAAAAGTATCTATTTCCTATTTTAATAAAAGTAATCATACATTAATATCAAAATATCATTTTACTTATACTTAAATTACAAATATATCATTACACATACAATTACTTTATACATAAAATGTCAAAATCTTTTACATACTTCCATTAACCAATAAAATATTCTTATTTCATAATTTACTGTAAAATCCTAATAAAATACTTTCATCCGGACGAAAAAAGTATTATCTTTTTTTTTTTTTTTTTATCAATAATAAGAATATGTTTATTTGTATTTCTATTTATTATTTAAAAAATTAACAAATTTTGCGAGCTTACATATATAAATAGTATGTGAAGTGTATACGTATATAGATTGGTAAAAGTTTACATTCGTTAAATCTTTTAAAACAAATTTTCGCCAATCTTATCATTCAAAATAATTGTTTTTACCGACTTATAGCTTAAACACAAAATAAACTAGTTTTTTATACTAACATTTTATAGCAAAGAACATCCTAATGCCTATAACATATTTTACTAGTATTCATATCATAACCTAAATTAACTTGATTAAACTTATATACAATGTTATACTAATTTTTTTTTCATAGCATCGATCAAAAGTTCATATAGCACTTATTCAGTTATTCTTAATACATTATTTATAAAATAAAAGTATGTGTTATTTTCTCGTAAGTTCGACCAAAGATTTACTCATAACGCAGTAGAAAGATTCAATATCTATTTTGAATACTCTAGAGAATTAATTTGAATGAACAATTCATGACATTTATGAAAATTCATAGTGTAAGCTAATCAATTGGGTCAAAAAGCGAAGTTTTGTGGAGTACTGATCGAGTCAAATCAGCATAATATTTTAAATAATATATATAATCAAAACATATCATGCATGTTTGACATTATACGATACTTTCTCCGTCCGTCTCTAAGATCACATTTATCTTTTGCGTCATTGCACTTAACATTAAAAATATCTTTATATTTGTATAATTTTTTTGTACAAATATCCTACTATTAGTATTATAAAACATTAA